TTCAATAGTCTTCATCATAAAAGAACCAGTACAGGAAGTATCGAGCATGGAGCGATTATTGGGGCATGAATATAACATTGACTTAAGCCTCCCCCAATCTTGAGCGATACTTTCTCCTTCGCGAGGCCAAAAATTATATATATAATTACGATCACGATGAACCAGATGCATAGGATAAAACTTCTGATGCAATTCCAATTTCAATCGGTTGTAGTTCCATGATCCAATATCATCACATAGCCTAAACCATGTCAATGACTTTCACTTCAAAGATAAAGGGAAGACCTTATTCTTGATAACATCCTCGGACATACCTGCAAGCTTAAATAATCCACAAACTTCATCCACATAGATTAGGTGCATATCGAGATGTAATGTTCCATCTCCTGTAAAAGGATTAGCTAGCAATTTCTCTATCATACCCGAAGGAATTTCAAAGTAAACATTTTTAGTAGGTTCAGTAGGTTGAGGAGAAACTCTTTGCTCTACTTGTCGGGGTGAAGATACCCCGAATAAGCCCCTCAAAGGATTATTTTCCATAGTAACAAGTGATAGTAAATTTCAGCACACACTATAAAATTTTCCTTACCAAATTCCACCTACCAAAGGCGCTTCACTCCCCGGCAACGGCGCCAGAAAAGAGTCTTGATGACCCACAAGTATAGGGGATCTATCGTAGTCCTTTCGATAAGTAAGAGTGTCGAACCCAGCGAGGAGCAGAAGGAAATGACAAGCGGTTTTCAGTAAGGTATTCTCTGCAAGCACTGAAATTATTGGTAACAGATAGTTTTGTGATAAGGTAATTTGTAACGGGTAACAAGTAACAAAAGTAAACAAGGTGCAGCAAGGTGGCCCAATCATTTTTGTAGCAAAGGACAAGCATGGACAAACTCTTATATAAAGGAAAGCGGTCCCGAGGACACATGGTAATTATCGTCAAGCTAGTTTTTCATCATGCTCATATGATTCGCGTTCGTTACTTTGATAATTTGATATGTTGGTGGACCGGTGCTTGGGTACTGCCCTTCCTTGGACAAGCATCCCACTTATGATTAACCCCTCTCGCAAGCATCCGCTACTACCAAAGAAGAATTAAGGTAAACCTAACCATAGCATGAAACATATGGATCCAAATCAGCCCCTTACAAAGAATCGCATAAACTAGTGTTTAAGCTTCTGTCACTCTAGCAACCCATCATCTACTTATTACTTCCCAATGCCTTCCTCTAGGCCCAAACAATGGTGAAGTGTCATGTAGTCGACGTTCACATAACACCACTAGAGGAGAGACAACATACATCTCATCAAAATATCGAACGAATACCAAATTCACATGACTTCTTATAACAAGACTTCTCCCATGTCCTCAGGAACAAACGTAGCTACTCACAAATCATATTCATGTTCATAATCAGAGGGGTATTAATATGCATAAAGGATCTTTACATATGATCTTCCACCGAATAAACAGACTAGCATCAACTACAAGGAGTAATCAACACTACTAGCAACCCACAGGTACCAATCTGAGGTTTTGAGACAAAGATCGGATACAAGAGATGAACTAGGGTTTGAGAGGAGATGGTGCTGGTGAAGATGTTGATGGAGATTGACCCCCTCCCGATGAGAGGATCGATGGTGATGACGATGGCGATGATTTCCCCCTCCCGGAGGGATGTTTCCCTGGCATAACAGCTCTGCCGGAGCCCTAGATTGGTTCCACCAAGGTTCCGCCTCGAGACGGCGGCGATTCATTCCGAAAGCTTCCTTATGATTTTTTTTCCAGGGCAAAAGACACCTTATACCAGAAGATGGGCATCGGGGGGCTTCCAGGTGGCCCACGAGGCAGGGGGCGCCCAGGGGGCTAGGGTGTGCCCCCCACCCTCGTGGACAGTGGGTGGCCCCCCTCTGGTGCTTTCTTAGCCCAATATTTTTAATAAATTGCAAAACACTTACGTGGAGTTTCAGGACTTTTGGAGTTGTGCGGAATAGGTCTCTAATATTTGCTCCTTTTCCAGCCAAGAATCCAGCTGTCGGCATTCTCTCTCTTCATGTAAACCTTGTAAAATAAGAGAGAAAAGGCATAAGTATTGTGACATAATATGAAGTAACAGCCCATAATGCAATTAATATCGATATAAAAGCATGATGCAAAATGGACGTATCAATAATCAACACTACTAGAAACCCACAGGTACCAATCCAAGGTTTTGAGACAAAGATTGGATACAAGAGATGAACTAGGGTTTGAGAGGAGATAGTACTGGTGAAAATGTTGATGGAGATTGACCCCCTCTCGATGAGTGGATCGTTGGTGATGACGATGGCTTCGACTTCCCCCTCCAGGAGGGAAGTTTCCCCGGCAGAATAGCTCCATCGGAGGCCTAGATTGCTTCTGCCCAGGTTCCGCCTCGAGACGGCGGTGCTTCGTCCCGAAAGCTTCCTTACGATTTTTTCCAGGTCAAAAGACATCATATAGCATAAGATGGGCATCGGAGACCTGCCAGGGGGCCACAAGCCCTAGGGGTGCGCCTAGGGGGGTAGGGTGCGCCCCCAGGCTTGTGGCCACCTGGTGGGTCCCCTCTGGTATTTTTTCACCCAATATTTTTTATATATTCCAAAATAATTCTCCGTAAATTTTTAGGACTTTTGGAGTTGTGCAGAATAGGTCTCTCAGATTTGCCCCATTTTCAGTCCAGAATTGCAGCTGACGGCATTCTCCCTCTTCATGTAAACCTTGTGAAATAAGAGAGAAAAGACATAAGTATTGTAACATAATATATAATAACATCCCATTATGCAATAAATATCAATATAAAAGCATGATGCAAACTGGACGTATCAGGTGACCAATTCCAAATTGGTGACCTCAATTGAATGAGAGGCCTTCATTCCTAGGGAGCTTAGTGTTATAGATGATGTTCTTTTAGTAGCGGAAGCATGGATTTATCAAATTGGGAAGTGAGATGCCCATTTTGTCTTCTGTAGTACCGAAGGTTGTGTGTTTACCTAAAATCACCAGATGGTTAACTCCTTCTGAACTCCGAAACTTCCACTCGAAACAATGGACAAATTCATTCAGAAGGACAAACTATAGAACTGTCGCGGTCATCTATTCTTGGATGTTTGTATTGTTAACTATATGTTATTTGATGATCATGATTATATGTAACTAGAGATGTGAAAGAGTGGTTGTTGAGGGTGCAAGGAAGAGCAGAAAATAATGATAGCGTTATAAGGCTATCTTTGACTATTGTCCATTCCAATCAGATGGATGATGTGAATTGGGGAAATGGCATGATTAGATGTCAGATAATGTTTTACTTATTGCACCCTGTTGGTTTACTTCCTCGTCCATTCCACTCTTTCTTGTTTTGATCAAGTTATTTATTCTCTATAGCTTCTGCTGATAAATCTACCTCCCAACTACGGAATAGAGATTTTTTTTATTTGTTGGCTGCTAAAAACTACCGAAATGGTAACTTCGTAAGCAGGCAACAACGTCTAGCGGACTATTGTTTGGAGGTATTCTTGCAATGCTTCTCTCTTCTAGGTATTGTCTGGAAAAAGGTTATATGATGCAATTCTGAATTGATGTGCACATTTGTGATAAGGAAGTGAATTACAGTAACAATGTAGAACAATATGAATTTTTGCTCTGAACTTCATGTGGTGACATAGTATTTGTTCGTGCCTTTTAGATGTGTTCCTCTGTGGCCACATCTTCCTTTACACCCATGGTTGTACTCGGAGGAGATTCAAGGAGATCTGCCATGTAAGAACTCACTTAATTAAGTTACAGAGAATTGTATCGTGGGCAAGTGTTGACTTGTTACTTCT